AAAAAAAAAAAAAAAAAAAAAATTTCCTATTACCGATTTTGCCTGGGCCAAATGGCTGGTGTTTCTGGCTTTTGAACTTTATCAAAGGTAACCTCCCAAGTGCTCAAGGAAGGAAAAATTTAAGATAGTCTGTGGAGGAGAAGAGACTACATAAGGTTTTGCAATACTAAACCAGAAAGGATTTACTTCCTAATCAGGGAATGGAACTCAGACCGCCAATGTGAAAGGTCAGTGAGCCACAGCACACGGCAGTCTCTACTGCCCTTCCCAGAAGGAATCTAGAGTAGTTAACTTTGAGCTTGCAGAGGCTTTTAACTACTCAAGATAGTTAATTTTTAGAGCTAACTATGACATAAACCCTGAAATTCCTGTTCACTGGAAGGCGGAGACCAAGAGAAAGTACTGCCACATGATTACAAGGTCAAGCTCCCAAGGACATAAAACAAGATGGAGACCCCATTCAGTGTTGTTGTTTGTTTCAGGGACCTGCAGGTAGGTTTGTTATTGACCAGCTTGCTGGGCCATCTTCAGCAGCAACCTTACGGGGTCCTAATCCCATGTTTTATCCTAATATACCCCTTAACTCAGAAAAACGAATTCATAGCACAAATACATCAGTTTAAGACTAGCCTCAGAATTTTTTTTGTATTAATCAAAACTTTACAGAAGAGATAAATAAACAGTGATTTTTACCATTCATTCAACCATTTGCACAGAGAGAGAGAAGCCAAAACTCTGACTGGTAAGAAATTCTTATCCTTTTGTCAGCATGCCAGGCTTCCGGGTTCCCTTTTCCTGAGCGGCTCCAGTGACCCACCTTGCCGCACCATCGCACTGGGGGCAAAGCCGCGTCATAAAGGAATTTTTTTTTGTCCTGCCCAGAACAAAATACGTGAGATAAAACATAGACGTTAGCCACTCTGTTTAGCACCCAATATCAAATTGGCAAGGCTTAAATGTGTCCTCAGATGGGCCCCGTCATCTTTAATTCAACCTCTGATTAGAAGTTTCAACATGTGGTTTCTGGGCAAGATGGTTTCCCTAAGTAACAGAAAAGACAAAAAAGGGAAAGGACAGAGAGAAAAGCATTGCCTGTGACAGGGTGGGGAAGGCGAAGTACTCAGGGAGGCCAGAGAAAGACCCACCCGTTGCAGCCACACTGAAAAGTTCAGGCGCCTGAAGCTGCTGTCATGAATGGGATTTTTTCCAGCAGTCGCATCGGCTCTCAAGTGTCCCCTTTTGGGGGAGGAAAAGCTCCCCATGTCCCACAGTCCTGTATATGCCTAATCCTGTCACCCATAGTCATCAGCAAGGCTGCGAGTCAGATTATTCCAAAGAGAATAGTAGCAGTCGACACCCTGTACTTCAATGCACTTTTGTTCATTTGGAACATTCCACTGTAAGTTATCTTTAGTAAGATTTTGCCATTTCTGTAAGACTTCGCTGCCTCTCAAGCCTAATGTGTAAGCCAGAAGGAACTCAGTTTTCCATAAATTAAGGATCCCATTTTTACCTAAAATATTGGCTTTACTCTCAGGTTCTCTTGATTCACTTAGCCAATGATTTCTCTCCTACCTAAGTGCACAAGAAAAGTGAAACAAAAAAGTAGAACACAAATATTCCTGTGAAATTTCAAAAGCCAAATTTTACAACCCCTGCAATATTACTGCTTACCACCAGTTCCTTTCTGATCCAGTCAGATGTAAGAAGCCTCTAACTGGATCTAAACCAGTTAGTTCCCAGATCAAATCCTTTCCTGGACCCATCAAGTTTCTGTCATGACTCCAAACCCAGTTTGGATCAGAAATTTGCTTAAAGAAACTCAGAGAGCTCAAAACACAAATCCATGGAGCTCTGAAATCCAAGAGGACACTTACCCATGCTCCCCAGCTGCTCTGAGAGATCAATGGACATGAGTGGGTCCTGCAGGTACCTTGTGTGTTCACTCAGCACTCCTGGGGGTTGCTAGAATCTCCACTCCAGATCCCAATCCTGACACCATCTGGTAAACGAAAAATTTCGGCCAAATTAAGTTGAAATGAGTTTAATTGAGCAATGAACAATTTGCGGGTTTGGCAGCCCCCAGAATTGCAGCAGATTCACAGAGACTCCAGGGGTGACTTGTGGTCAGAAAACATTTATAGACAAAAAAAAGTAAAGTGATGTACAGCAATCAACGAGATTGGTTACATTGCAGTGTTTACCTTATTTGAACCCAGTTTGAACATTCAGCAATCTATGAGTTATTGAAGTATGGCTGCTGGGAT